CAATTAGGCATGCATTCGCCTCCGCTGTCGAACGGGGCGCCGGTGGAAATGGACGACCAGCTCCCAGAACTCCCGCTTCATCGTCGGGCGGGGGCCGCCGCAGCCGGGCGGTCTCCCCCCCGACGGTTGGACGACCTGGCCGTGCTGGCGACGGTCACGACCTGCAGGGCCACCACGTCATCACCCACCTGTACGGAGCGGCCCTGGATGGCTGCCCGGCCTCAGCAGTCGTGCGGGGCCCGCGGTCGGGTCGTCAGCGGCCGTGCGCCGCCACGTGCCTGGGCGGAGCTGCATCGCCGAGTCCGCGCGTTTCATTTCGACCCCCGTCTGCTGGAGCACCACCGCCAAGATAGCTCCCACAGCCTCCTGCGCGTCGTAGGCGAGGGAGCCCGCGGCCGTGAGGTCCGCAGTGCAAGGGCCACCGCCTTGAGTTTCAAGGCGGGCCGCCGCCGGCTGCTGCGCTGCGCGGAGGCGCTCCTTGGCCGCTGCTGGAGCAACGATGGAGCGGCCGCCCATGCGGGAGGGGCGCCAGCGAAGCATGGTCACCGCTGCCTCAGGATCCGCGGCCCAGATGTCCTCCAGCAGCCGTTGCCAATCGTCGGGGCCCACATCAGTGCGAATCGTCGCCTTCGTCGTGGACGAGAAGAGGCACTCCCTGCACATACTGCTTATCTTGCCGAGGGCGGGCGGGTCCGTGAGCTCCAGGAGCGGGGCCGTGAACTCCAGAAGCGAAGAAGATCGGAACGGGCCAGTCCTGCCCCCGAAGACCCACCAACAACATCTGGACACTGAAATCCGTGACATTTGGTGGCATATGGAGAGCCCGGGCTGCAGCCGCTACGACCCGCCCGAAGCTGCAGAACATCGCCCAAAGCCAGAAATCGTTCAAAAACCATGGCACGGTGCGAGGTGGGGCAATCCATGTAGAGGACCTGGCCCATCCGAACCTCCGCCAACGGCAACGCCACAGACAGCATCTTCGGCAGCTGGTGCGGGAAGTGCGTCGACACGGCGGCGATGAAGAGGCCCTTGGAGACGTGCTGCGGGCCGCCGGAGCCCGTGTCAAGCATCTGGAGGGCTTGGGTAACAAAATCTTGCTCTCGGATAAGAGGCGCCCACTTGTCTCCAAAAAACGGGTGCCAGAACAGGTCTCGGACAGCAGTCGTGGTAGAACAGCCTGGAAGCACCGACATGGGCACGAGCAGGCGGATGGGGCGGCCCTCGAAGATCACCGCAGGAATCCTCAGGAGAGCGGCCCGAAGTCGCCCCAGCGCTGAGGTCGAGGAGGGCGCTCACGCAACCAGGCCACTGTGGGGCAACCATTGCAGCAGCTGGTTCGCATCAGAATCACCGGCCGCGAGTCGCTCCTGCCATACCTTAGCAGAGGCAGGATCGAGCAACCGGCCGTGTTGGTGTAGAGCAGGTGCGAGGTCGAGGACGTCTGAGATCTGCGTCGCGACCGTCTCGCTGAGGGACGCAGGGGTGTTGATGATGAACTCCGGGCCTGGGGCGCCTAGCTCCTTCCAGCGGTCGTGGGGCGCGCCCTTGTCCTTCCTCCGCCGAGCAAGGACTGCCGGAAGTTGAAGAAGGCACTGCGAGTGCTCTCAGCTGGGTCGGCCGGGGCTGCCGCCGCTCCGCCGCCCCCGTCCAGGCCGAACTGCTGGCAGGACGCGCAGACGTCCCCGCCTGGCAGGGCGGGGCCGTCCACACCGCAGGCCGCGCAGACTCGGCAACGCCCCGCCATGGCTGTGCTCGCGAGGGCAGGATGGCGCGAGGGGAGGGGCCTGGTTATCTGAGGCGCTCTTAGGCTGACTTGAGCCGTGCTTGAGCCAAGCAGACCACGTACCTTGGCAGCGCGCTCGATATCGACAGGAGTTCGAGACCAGAGGCAGCGGCCCGTTTGGCGAAGGCAAAGTCTGCGCATGCGCGTTCATCGGCTAAGGTATGGAAATATCGTACTCTTTCGAGCCTGGCAATCTTTGATTTTCTCCACTGCGTGCGATGGAGGCTCAGACGCTGGGAGTGATGGATATCCGCTTATTGGAACGATGACACATGAAATGCGTTCGCCAAATTCTTCGCGAACCAGCCATGCTACCTCACGAGTTGAACGGCAATATTCGCCAACGCCTTATTGATAGTCAACTTCGACGGCGGCGTGTACTGGCAATCCATCCTGCAAGGGGAGTTTGGCACTAAAGTGATTCGCCTACCTGGAGAGTTGGGGGCGCACTTGGCGCCGGAACACGATCCCAAGGAGCTCACGCGCATGGTGCTGTTGGGGCGTTTCGAGTTTGAGCCCGAGGAGACTGAGCGGACGAGAAGTGCCAGGGTGTCGACGCTCCAGGGCGACTTGGTGGCGCTGTGCCTGAGCATGGCCGACATCGCGGAAGAGGACGGGGCCCTGAGGACGAAGGCCCCTATGGCGCGACTGGTGGAAGAGGTGCTGGGCGAGGCTCCGTCCCTCGTCGGCCCAACGGACCCCTACTTGGACGATTCCTGGCTGCCCAAGGTGATCTTCGACAGCGTCATGACGTGGAAGGGCGAGGAGGAGGAGGAAGTGGAGGCAGAGATCGCCCATTGCCCTGAATGCGGCCGGCCTTGTGGCGGCGCAGCCGGCTTGCAAGTCCATCTCGGCCAATGGTGCGGCAAGGGAAAAAGGCAGCGCATGATGGCCTGCGACACAGGCGCCCCGCGCAGAGCCATGAAAGAGGAGGCTCGCGGACGCGGCCGCGGCATGGGCGAGGGGCGAGGGCGAGGTTGAGGGAGGCAGCCCGCGCATGGCGCTTTGGAAAACCCCCCCTAACGATCCTTCGGGAGGGGGTCCGCAATCGCAAGATCGACCGCCAGATAAACCATCAATCGCCTCGTTCTTCCGCAGTGCGGCTCCAGCTCAGGACGTGCAGATCGCGCCGGCTTCCGCACGGCCCCCCGATGTTCGGCGCTCCTCAGCGGGTGGCGGCGGCGGCAGGCGGGCGGAAGCGCCAGGCGGCGCAAACGGCACAGGCGGCGGCGGGGTCGGTGGAGGCGGCGCCTGGGGTGACGGACAAGGTCCAGCAGAAAATCAACAAGGCGCTGGCTAAGCTGACGCTGCAGCTGGATAACGAGCGTCGCTCCAACGCGAGGGGCGAGAACGTGGTTTTCGTGATGGGCGCGAACTCGGAGCTGGCCAACACCCTGGCCTAAGCGGAGGGCGAGTACACGAAGGCGGGGGACGCGGCGACGAAGGCGGCCCAGGACGCAAAGGAACCGTTCCGCGGAAACCCCAACGGCAAAGAAGCCCGACGAGCTGCTGGCCAACCTCCTCCTGCGCGTGACGCAGGCTTTGAACCTCAAGAAGGGTGGGGGTGCCAGCGTTCCCTTCTCGAAGTACTGCCAGGAGCATCTGAAGGACGTGCAGGAGGAGGAGACCGCGGGCGACATCGCGGCGGCCCTCGACGTGCTGGAGGTTCGGTCGCAGGACCCGAAGAGCGCGCGTGAGGGCCAAGAGGTGCCTCTCGGTGAAGGTAAAGGACACGGCGAAGGGCGAGCTCGTGAAGTGGATAGTGGCCCCGTCTCGAGACAGCGAGTTCGCCGAGGGAACCGAGCTCTTGCGGGCACACCAGGCGTTGGCGCCGATCGGAGTGAGCCTCGAGGAGGACACATGCCCGATGGCGCAGGTGGCCAAGGAGGTAAAGAGCCTGGCGTTCACGGGCAATAACACGGGGCCGAGAAAGCTTAAGGAGAAATGAGCGGAGCAGCACGCTTTTGACGGGGAGAGCAGGTCCGCCTTCTTCTCAGAGAAGTTGCGAGGCGGCTGCCCGTGCCAGAGCCGCCCGCCGCACGGGTGGCGGGTGCGGCGCGCGCGCGGGCGTGTCAGCATAGGCCCAGCGCCGCGACCGCAGCGGCGTGGACTCGAGCTGACTGGACCAGCTCGGAAAGGACCATGGGGTTTGAGCGAAACACATAATCATCATTGGCAGCAGCAACATCATCGTCATCAACATCCTCAACTTCATCTTCATCATCATCATCATCATCAGCAGCAGCATCATCATCATCACCATCATCATCATCATCATCATCATCATCATCATCATCATCATCATCATCATCATCATCATTATCATCATCGTCATCATCATCACCAGCAGCAGCATCATCATCAGCATCATATTCATCATCATCATCAGCATCATCATCATCATCGTCGTCGTCATCATCATCATCAGCATCATCAGCATCAGCATCATCATCAGTAGCAGCAGCATCACCACCACCACCACCATCACCATCATCATCAGCATCATCAGTTGCATCAGCATCATCACCATCATCAGCATCACCAGAACCCTCCTCCTCCTCCCACTCCTCCACATCACCATCATCATCATCATCATCATCATCATCATCGTCATCATCATCGTCATCGTCATCAGCCTCATCAGCCTCAACATCAGCATCATCATCATCAACATCAGCAACATCATCAGCAGCATCATCTTCATCATCATCATCATCATCATCATCATCATCGTCATCACCGTCATCATCCGCCTCCTCCTCCTCCTCCTCATCCACCTCCTCCTCCCTATCTGCCGCGCCCACATCCCCCTCCAGAACTCCTCCTCCTCCTCTATTTCTCTCTCTCTCTCTCTCTCTCCCCACCTCTTGAACAGTCACTGAAGTACCATGGCTGCCTGCTGCTGGTCCCTGCTTCTGCCTGCTGCTTGCTGCCTGCTGATTGCTGCTGCTGCTGCTGAACGCTGCTACTATTTGGTGCCGCTGGGTCTCACCTGTTCTATGCCTGCTGTTGTCGACGCCCATACGCGCCCGTCGTGCTTTGAGACGTCCGAAGTAATGGCACAGTCAAGTCGCATAAGAAGGACACGCGGTAAGGATGCAAGGGCCTTGGAGGGCCACGGCGTTTTCGAACGGGGCTGGCCAGCAAAAGTCGCCGAGGATGGGCCGAAGCTATGCGACTTGACTGTACTCCTCGGCCTCCTCCCGATGGCGAGCGCCTTCTTGGCCTCCTTCTCGGGGTTGCCGGCCTTCGGCATCGGGGCCTGAGCCCGCCCCTTGGCTCTGGGAGCCTGGCCGGGCACGGGCGCGCAGGCGTGGGCGCGCCTGGACCGCCGCCATCGCTTCGCCCATTCGCTTCGCCTCTCGCTCCTCGGAGGCTCAGATCTAAAAGCCGTCGCGAAAGATTGCCACGGGCGCTTCTTTTCACCACCTCAACACCCAGCGTCTGAATGGGCCCCACAATCGTCCAGACAAGCTCCAGGCTGCTCTGCTGCCGTCCGCGTGGCAGCAGCACGTTGGCGTTCGCCTCCTGCTGTAGAGAACGCTCGCGTGTACTTTTTGCACCACGCGGGTGCCCTTGAAACCCAGACCCCGTCATCATTGTTGTTTCACAACGTCGACCCCCAGAGGTCTCGGCCCATTCCCCGGGACCGGCTGCTCATGCTGAGTGGTTGATCGACGGTCCCGAGTCAGGGCCCCCTGAGGCTGAAAATAGCGGAAAGCCTCCCGTCGTGGTATTTCCATGACTCGATAGGGGGCCTGCGTAACGAAGTGGGAAAGTGGAGCAGACCCCGCGCTCCTCAGGACAGGGAGGCCAGGGACGAACCACCTTCCGAATAAGAGATCGACTAGGTACAGAATTGCTTTACCACAGAGTTGGAATTCCCGTCGAATTTCTCAAAAACAATCGACTTCGCGGACCTATAAGAACATGGCATATTTCGAAGATTCGACTAATGTAGGGTACATGAGTTCTGCAGCCGGTCTCCTACCCGAACCTACGGGACATGCGATTGACTGGCCACATGTTCGGCTACCGCGAACGAGGACGGACGCGAGCGGTGGCCCCACCTCAAAGGGTCCGCCGTTAATGCGGCCTCATACCCAGATGTCCGACGCCTCGAATAGGAGATCTAAAACATAATGTATATACCCAATCATCAACTTGTTCGTCAAATATACTAAACTTGTGCGCATGTTTCGTAGATTCGACGCGCAGGGCATTATAGGGTATATGAATTATGTAGCCGATCTCCTACTCGACCGCCGTGACTGTCTCACGAAGTAGGCCTCAGGAGCTCTCCACCCTATGTCCATGATCAGTTCTCGGCCACGGGACACCAACACAGAAAACAACAACGCCCGTTGTGATCTGCTGCGCGACTCCCCAAGGTAATGGGTATCCGCCGTCATCGCTGCCCCCCTGAAATTCTCGCCAGTGGCTGGTGAAGCTTGGCACCGCCCGGCCCCTATCCCCACGCGGAGCCCGCGGGCCCGCCTTCGCCGAGAAGCCGCCCCGCGGCAGGGCCGAAAAACTGGAAGAGTCCAGGCAACGAGGAGAGCAAGCGCGTGTTCCTCCGATCGGATTCGAAGCGTCCCCTTCGTCGGTTGTATTCTCCCCCTACCCCTGCATCCCTCCCAACTCCCCTCCTCTTTATCCTGGTCGTTTCCCTACTAACCCCAGTCCCCTTTCACCTTCCTCCAATCCTGACAATCCCCCTCCCCACCCAACTCCCCACCCTCATCCTCCTACTCCTCATTATCCGCATCCCTCCACTTCCGATCTTCCTCCACCTGCAGTCCTCCTCCCTCTCCACTTCCCACACCTCTCCTGCAAGAGATGGACCGAGCTGACAATAGCCAAGCAAACCTTGGAGTTGGCGCTTGAGAAGCACATTAAACATCAGTAGGTAAACCCACTTCTTGCCGCTCGCTTCTAGCCGATCGTGGCCAGCTGGATGCTTGCAACAGGCCACGGAGATGACCAGAACCTCCGCGGACGCGGACACGAATGAGGGGTTTGCTGTGCACTCGATGATGTCACGCCAACACAGAAGCGCGCCGCTGGCAACCCTTCTTTAAGTAATGAGCTCTCTGCGCAGGCTTGGCCCAACGCCACCGGTTGGCCCTGGCCCGCTGCATCCCTGGCCCCAGTTCTTTCTGCACTGCCCTTAAGCTGGGCCACCACGCGGTGGAAGGTGAGGAAAGAGGAACGCGACGACATCTGCTCGCCTCGACCCGGCTCACACGCGTGCTGCTTGAACTGGATTCGTGTTAGCGGGGACCCCTCGCTCCGACAACCGAACACGCGCAACAGGCGGGACCTCGAAGCCAAAACCTCCTGGAAAATAGCGAAAGGGGGCGATGAGCACACGGACGAGTAAATCTCAGCGCTTTGCAGAAGAATCAGATTTGCTCACCTGCCCACATGCCTGACGAGTTCGCTCGTTTCTCTCGCTCCGTAGCCTGCTCGGCCGACGCGAGCGCTCCCAAAGAAAAAGGGGCCCCAACCTGCTGCTGGAGCCGACAAGGCTGCGTCGCGGGGAGGTGTCGCAAAGTCCCCCAAGACTTGCGTAGCGAAAGCTTTCGGCGCTCGAAACGCAGGCGAAGAGGAATAATGGATAGTTCAACGCACCGCCGAGGCTTGCAAGCGCTCGCCCCGCCGTGCGTTGCGAATGTATACCCTGGTCTGTCATGAGCGCAGTGCGCCGAAGTCGGAGCCCTGAAGGCGAATGGGCTCGTCGACTAAACAGAGAATTCAAACATAATAATAAGAATCGATACAGGGCCTTGGGACAAGGGGTGCAAGACGTGTGTATGCCACCGTGAAGCAACGTCGATACGTACATATATACATATGATCTGGCATATACACCGATAACCCATTGCCAGGTATGTGTAAATTGCGGATGAACAGCGTCGTCGCTCCAATGGCACCCCCGTCAAAGGACCGAATGGTTACCCACCCTCATCATCATACTGCTCCTTCCCGCCCTCTGCTGACCGCCCTCCTCCTCGTAGTCACCTCTAATCATCACCTCTTCTCTTCCGGAAGCCTCCGAACAATCCCGGAAAAAAGGGAGAAACATGCTGGAAAACGTCCGACTACATTTGGCAATATACAAACATCGCCGGGCCTCCGAAAATCTGTTTCTTATCCAGCATCCATACGCACGTTGCCCAAATTCTCTGGAAGTCTCCAGGAATCCCTAGAAGCCTCTGGAGGCTCCCCCTCGCAAAGCCCAGGCGAAGAGCGCGCCCTCCCCCGCCCTTCGCCCCCGAGTGCGTTCTGCAGCACTACCATCAGGACAGCGAAGGGAGATCTCGTCAGCGAGGTGCCTCAAGTTTACCTGAGACCTGCTAAAATTCGAAGCCACCCGTGTTGCAGCGGTCTGAAAAAGGGAAGGGCGGACATGTTGCAGGCGCAAAAACATGGGTGACTAGCGCGTTGGCTTGACAGAAAAGGCGCGGCAACACACGCCTGAACACAGGCAGGCACCTCGCCAGCCCATTGGGGGCGGGCGGACAGCAACAGGGGGGCATCAGGAAAGTGTGACGTCCAAGTGCAGCAAGAGGGGCTGCGAGAGCGGGTCGACGGGAGAATCGCGAAAACAAAAAAGAATGCGAGGTATGTCGGTCCCCCGACGTTGCGTTTCGTTGACGCTGGTCCCCCGACGTTGCGCTTGACCTTGTGGATCTCCATGTGCACAAACGGCTTCGGAGCACACGCGTGTTCAGACCTCCGCGGGCTGGCGCGCCAGCGCGGGCCAACGCGCTTTCCACTCAAGCGGATCGTGACGATCCACAGCGCTCTTTAGACACCAGGCGAGCCTTTGCTGGCCCGTGGCCGCGATCACGCCGCCCGGGCAGGCGCCGCCACTGACTTCAGCCGCTCCGCGGACTTGGCCAGCTCCGCGGCGAGATGCATCACCCCCAGCAGCTCGACCTCGGACCCGCCAGGTACCTTGCCAGCACGTCCGCGGCGCGGCCAAGCCCCTCCCCCTTCTTGATCTCGAGGGGCTTGTCTGACGCGCAACCCTGAAGCCACGGGGCCGCTGCGCGGAGGTGGTTGATCCGCCCGGCGCCTCGCCTCTAAGCCGCGGCGAGCGCCGAGCTGCTGTCCAAACGCATGCGCAAGGACATTTCCAGGCCGAGGTACTGCGCCAGGGGCTTCGCATCAATCAGGTTGGTTCCTGTCTTCACAGCGCCATGCAATTTCGCCTCGGCGCTACAGAGGACAACCGCCGCATGCGTCAGACTCGGCGTCTTACAACGTGGTGCCCATGCCGAAGTTCCACGCCTGAAGTGGACCATCTCGTCGATACACAGCCTGCGAACCCCGCGTCGCTGATGCCGTCAACGATGCCGCGCCACTTCCGCCTCTTGAACAATCCAGCCACGCGCGGCCCGTCAAACCGATGCCGAACCAAGCGCTTCAACGTCATCGCGGTCTCTTCCGTGGGCCGCGCCGTTGTCCTCGCATCTTGCGCGCCCCTTCGACGCGCGCTGCTGACCTGGTCTGTCTTGCGAAAGAAACGCCGCCCTCATGCGCGCACTCCTGAACAACTGCGCCTCCTCGCCTGAGAGTTCGCCGCCGCGCAAGGCGCCCAGTTTCTTCATAATGCCTGGGGTCGTGCCTCCTTTCGCTTCGGCAGCGTTGAGTCGCTGGGCACGCGAGCTCGACGCGCCTGCGGTCTGGCTCCACCTCGACGCGCTGTCCATTGGGGTCCTCGCTGGCACTCGCCCATCTCGCCACTCGGCGCACTATTCGAACTTCTCGAACATCGCGCCCTGGTCGCTGATCGGGCCCAAGCGCGCCGCGATCCTTGACCGCCTTGAACCGCGCCCGCTGTGACCTTCGCCCAACCGTCAAAGTCACCGCCGTGAACGAATCTCCGCAAGCCTCGGACTTCGTGGAAGTACAAACATGGACTGAAGAGCCCCTGGACAAACTCGACCTCCCCAACCATCGCGCGCTTCGTGAATTCTTCAAGTCCCAAAACCCGCGTCCATGTCACCATGGGGGATCTTGATCAACTGATGGCAAATAAATGCACGGATGCATCCGCATCCCTTGCACTGGCTTCACATGCGTCGTAGATCCCACGAAAAGAATCCGCATGAGGATGAGCCCGGGAGAGATCGACGCAAGCGATCCCGATGCGGTCATTCACGTCGCCTTCTAATGTCATCGCTACTGACAACACAAACCTCAGCGCCACCAGCGGCGGCGGCGTTGAACAAGTCGCCGCAAGATCAACTGCATCGATTGTCGAGCGAGATCACGTTTCCGGAACCACGAGCCTGACGCGCAGCTCTGGGCGAGGATCGTCGGCCTTGTTGCAGTTGACCCGCCTCGAGGGGATCGGCTCGCGGCCCGCGGGCTGGCGGCGAGCGCCCACGCTCGCCGGCCGCCAGACTTCCAGGTGCCCCATGCGCACCAAGTCGTCCGTCATCGCCTTGTCGAGAACCTCGCTGTCCAGCGCCAAGCCTGCGTGCTCGCCCCGATGCTCGAAGCCCTCGCGCGGCTGGAATGACCGCTCGACCTTCACCTCCAGCTCGTCGAAATTGAGCCCCATCTCCAAGTTGTTGATAACCTGCGCATTCAGCAGCTGCTTCCTTATACCCCTCAGGATCGCATTCACCAGCTGCTCAGGGTAGGACTTCCCTCGGGCCCGCTCGCCCATCCGCAAGATGAACATGCCGATGATCTCGGGCATGTATGATGAAGGACAACTCCTCCAAGACCGCTGCTGCATTTGACAGCCGGCGGATTGGCTTGGACACCGGCCCGGACCCCCATCGCCCGCGACACCTGCGGCCGTGGCCCCGTGCGCACATTGGTGGCACACCACCGAGGCCACTCCTGCTAGGCGCTCCAGCGCCTTCGCGATGTCGAGGCCCCAGATCCAAGCACCTGCGGGGCGCTCGCAGATGAAACAAGCCCCCCCGTCCACTTGCCGCCAATAGCCGCGCATAATTTCAGGTGCGAGATGCCCTCAGCCACGATCTTCGCGTGCCTGACTGGGCCCCTGCACTGCGCGCGCAGCGTCTGCAACTGGCTGAAAGCCTTGCACATCGGGGGGTCGATGAGGAACTTAAGCTTCTCCCGATCCACCGTGGCCCGCAACCGCCGGCGCCCCGCCGGCTCGCCCAGACCGCGGCCGTTCCTGGCGTCGAACGCCGCGCCCGCGGCGAGGCCATGGAACCCGGCCCTCCGCAATGCCGCGCCGGCCCCGCACACCTCGGAAACGTCCGCGTTCTTGCGCCTCCTGAAATGCACCGCCGACAGGCGCCACGCGAACTCGTTCTCGCGGCCGAGGGCCATCAGCCCCCGACTCAAGCTCTCTACGTCGCCGCCCGGCTGCTGCTCAACCTGCTCGGCCATGTCGCGCGCGCGATCTTGGCCCAGGTCGTCCTCGCCAGAGCGCTGGCGCCCTGGAGTCCTAGCTGGCTCCACTTGCATGGCTGCCCTCGCTGGCGCCACTGCTGGCGGGCCGATCGACGACGATGGCGACTGTCCACTCGGTCGCGACGGTGCTCTCGCCACCGCGCCGGAAGTCTCTGCTCCCCGGCACTTGCTCCTCCGTCGGGCCTGGGCGCCATGTCAAGTCCATGGGGCGGGCTTGGTGCGCTACCCGTGCCTCTCGCACTTGCGCAAGTCGCTGTCGTAGTTCAAGGTGCTTCTGCCGTCCCCTGATTCTTCGCCGGCACGCCTCGCTACGGTTGGCCGGCGCACTGCCCGCGGCCGCCGCGGCGCAGCCGGGGCACCCCTCCGCGAAACCAACCTTCGCCAACTCCGCCGCCCGCCGGATCTTCGCGCCCCGCGGCGCACCTGCAGGCTCAGGCGGAGGCGGCGCGCCCGGCTCCGCCGCGGGGCCCGCCGCCGCGCGAAGCGGAATCTCCGCCGTCGCTGGCGGGCCCGCCACCTCCTCAACAGTCCTGGCCCACGGCGACCCTTGGAACGCGTTAATATCGCCCTTGTTGGCCCGCAGCTCATGGGGCGCGCGCCCGATCGTCCTCGCGACGAAGACGCCCTCCGGGATGCCCGCGCAGTGCTCCCCCGAGAAATCCCACGCGCCCAGGCGCGCGCCCTGCAGCGCGCCACTCGCGAGCATCGACGCCCGCCTGTCCGGGGCCAGCCACGGCGCAAACTCGCCGAACCTCACCGTGAACTGGGCCCATTTGCGCCCAAGGCCCGCTTGCGCGGCGCGCGGCCATCAGCACCTCGCCGACGCCTGTTGATCGCGGCCGCAGCATGCATGACCAACCAGGGCAGTCGCCGATGCGCGTGGTCCGCCGCGACGCCCAAGAACCTCCCCGATGCTGCCTCCAGCGCCCGGACCTTGGCCTCGAGGACCCGCGCGGCCCCCTCTGCGAGGCCGCCCTTCGGCACCTCCTCGGGGATGATGGTCATCCCCGCCTCCGCTCTAGCTCGCGCCGCCGACGGTGCACGCAGCCGGCGGGCCGGCGGCTCTCGCGCGGCCACTCATTCCTCACGGTCAGCTTGCGCGCACCGTGAACGACAAATTCATGTGTCATCGCGTGGGCGCTGCGTGCGTCCCCGCTTCCCTCTGACTTCAAATCATGACCCGCCAGCCACATTGCCTGAGAGTTCCTGCCGCGCAACAGCGGGCTGGCACGTTGGCCGTCCGCTCAAAATTCCTCATCATTTCCGGCAGGGTTCTTTGGATTCGAATAGCCGTAGCCCGCGCCTAAGACAGCCACGCCGTCCTGCACGTGGCCCCGAGCGGCATGGCCATCCTGCTTGCCGAGGCCTGAAACACATGCCCGGCACCACGATCTATACGGCTCGTGCGCTGGCTCATGGTCTGCAGCATCATCGCGGGTCGGTTGCAGTGGCCCACGCCTCGCACGGATCACAAGTGTCTCCTGCACCTGCTGCTCGAAGTCCTCAGCAACCTCGCCTCCTCCACCGCCGCCTCCTCGGCTGGCAGGACCTCTAGTTCCAGCGGGGCGATCAGGACAGGTCTTGCGGCCGGCTCGCCTGCCTGCTGAAAAGGGCTGCAGGCGCACGGAACCACGTCGAACTCCACCTCGAACGCGTCATTGATCCTGATCATGTCGACGATATTGCCATCATGTCGATGATCTTGCCGGTCGACTTGCGGTGGAGAAGCGACCCCTCGGAGTCGAAAGTGACCGCGTGGCCCGCATCGGCCAAGCCTGCCACAGCCAGCATTTGTTTGCGCGCTCTCCCACGCGAGTCCGCAGGAACTTCATCCCGCCATTGCTGTCCTTGATGCACACCTCGCTCTTGTCCTCGTCTTACACTGTCTCGCCGCCGTCCGCCGTGTGGCCGCGGCCATTGCTGCTATCGTCACTCTTGAACAGCGGGTAGTGACCGCACTGCCGCCAATGATCGTGGCCGCACTGCCGCTGTCCACCCCCGCGCGCAGATTCTCGAGAACGTTGATCTGCTTCACCTGGCCTTCCTGGCTCAAAGCGGTGACCTGCTTCGGTTCCACCCGATGCTCCGTGCTCGTGATGTAGATGTTTTCAACAACAATAATCGGCATCATGCTCGCCTACGAAGTGCAGGCGCGCTCTGCGTAAGGGGCTGTGTCGGCACCTGCGCAGGACGCTGCGCCGGGGCCGATGCAATTTTCAAATAATGAGCGCCTCCCCTTTGAGCACCACCTCTCCTGCTCCAGCAATCTTTCGCCACATGCACCTTTTTGTCGCACGCGAAACAATTGCGGTCCTTGCCCTTTCCGGCGGCGATCTTGCCCTTGCCGGTGCCTTTTCTTTAACCCTTGGCATGGTTATCATAACATTTGCCTGATTTGTCCTTACTTTTATCTTTGCCGGCACGCGGCTGAGAATGAGGCTGTGGGGGCGGCCGGTAGTACCTGCTCGCTAGGTGCTCGAACTGCTCCCACTTCGTCAAGAAATCGCCGCAGCGAAGCTGAGTTCAACATGCCCTGCATGATGCTCACCGAGTTGGTCCTCGTCTGCGGGTCGTGCTGGACCAGAACTCGCCACGCAAGCCCTTTTTCCTGCGGGCCCGCGTTCTCCACAACCGTGAGCGCCGACTCCTTGCACAGGTGGGCTAGCATGCGGCACAAAACTGTCGCCGCACGCGTGCGCGGTTCATCCAGCAACGCCATGTCCACATCATATTGCTTCTCGGTCATCTCGATAAAATGGCCGACCCGAATGTCCGCCAGCGACGCGTAGCTGCTCAGCTCCTAAGAACAACGCTCCACGACTGCCACTGCTCATCGTTGCCGTTGAAGTCGCTGGGACGGCTGAGGAGCCGCGTATCAACACCTGCACGGGCTCCTCCTCCGCCCTACTCAGTCTCTGACGCTGCTGGACATCTGCCTGCAACTCCTGTCGCTGCTGCTGCAGGGCTCGCTGCATCTCCTGTTCAGCTTGCCTCTGCTGGTCGATCAGCTGCTGCCTCAACACTTGCTGGTCAGTCTGCATATGCTGCATAGCCTGCTCCATCGCGGCAGGCACGTAGGATCTTCAGGCTCACGCTACCAAGAATCACACAACATGTCCACGCGAGGTATGCTGATCCCCTGACGTCGCGTTTCATTTATGCTGGTCCGTTGACGTTACGTTTGGTATTTTTGATTTATCTGAGCGTAAACGGTTTCGGAGCACACGCATGTGCAACAGGCGAAACATACGTATGTGTATATGCAATTACATACATACATATATACTAGAACCACGCGCGCGCTTCGCGCGCGCTTAGGTTCTGGCTAGGATCGTCACCGTCGTCATCATGAACATCACCATCGCCATCATTCCCCCCGCCAGGGCCAATGTACATCGTTTCTGGATGCTTCTGGCCGGAATGCGAAAGGAGTTTCTGTAGTTAGAGTCTCTGGGGGAAGTCGCGGGGCCCCTCAGGATACTCACGGATGCCTCTGATAATCCCCCAGCGTGCCCCACGAGATGGCCAGAGGGTGTCCGAACAGAACCCGAGGACGGCGACGACGGCGGCGATGAAGACGACGGCGATCGCGGCGACGAAGGTAGCGGCGGTTGCCATGGGTTGTGCGCGGGCCCTGGACCTCTCGACGACTTCCTGGGGATGTGTTTTTTTTTCATCCTGAGTCGTTTTCTGACGGTCCCGGGACCCAGGCCGAAAATTGACCGAAACCGCCGTCGTGATTTTTCCAAGACGTCGGAGGTCCAGGTCGTGCTTCCCGCCTCCCCAGACCTCCGACGTCGTAATTTTTGCGACCTCGGGCCCAGGAATCGATTGGGAAAACGCACATGGGAAGGCAAAAAATGATGGACCCATCATTTCGTACCTGTGCCTTGATCAGTGGGACGGGCTTCGCACCGCCGCACATCACAAGACACGCTCGAGCGGATCCAGCCGTGGCGACGTCGGGGACTGCAGAAGGTCGCAAGGACACGGAATCTGAAAGGAAGAGAGAGAAAGACAGAGAGAGAGAGAGAGAAAGAGAGGGAGAGACAGACAGACAGACAGAGAGCGAAGGAGAGAGAGAGAGAGAGAGAGCGAGAGAGAGAGAGAGATGGAGAGAGAGAGAGAGAGACAAAGAGAGAGAGAGAGAGGCAGAGAGAGGAAATGGAGAGGAGGTGAGCTTGAGTCAACGAAAACCGCAGGGAAGGGGGCAGGGGGAAGAAGGCCAGAGAGCGCTGAAGGATCCAAATGCTGGAACCCTCTTGGGATTTTTGGGGGGGCCTCGTCCGGCCGCTCGCTGGGAGTTTGACGTAGCTTCTCGGGAGCCGCTGAACCTGTCGGGGGCCTCCTGGAAGCAGGTCCGAAGCATTTTGGGGGCCGATTTGGGGCTTCTCGGGGCCTCCTTTGGGCCTCTTGGGGGTCTCCTGGGGCCTCTTGAGGGGCCTCCTTGGGGCCTCCTGGCGGCCTCTTGGGGCGGAAGGCTCGAGCTTGCGGTTCGTGGTCCCCCTCTGGGCCCCCTCTTGGGCCCGTCTTGGGGCCCTCTTGGGCCATCTTGGGCGCCTCTTGGGCCGTCTTGGGGCCCTCTTGGGCTGTCCTGGGGCACTCTTGGGAGCTTCTTGGGCCGTCTTGGGGCGGTCTTGGGCGCCTCTTGGGCCGTCCTGTAACGTCGGAAAGCCCAAAAGGCAACTTTGTGAAAAATGTACGTTTTACGAAGGGAATGGGCCAATTTTTGCGTCTAGGGGCCCTCTTGGGACGCATGTTGGAGGCTTCTTGGGGCGTCTTGGGGGGCGTCCTTGGACGTCTGGAGGCCATCTTCAGCATCTCGGAGCCCTCTTGGAGGCCTCTTGGAAATTTCTTGGGCCGTCTTGGGCGTTTCTGGGGCCGTCTTGTCTGACCGGGGAGGCCTCCGGCAAGCCCCGACGAGCCTCCGGGGCCCCCGGGGCCCACATTTGTGGTCGAGGTCCCGGCCCCGGGCCCCCGGACCCGGTGCGCCGTTATATGTATACTAGAATCACGCGCGCTACGCGCTCGCTCAGGCTCTAGTCGCAGATGAAGCACGGGCGCCGCTGTAACCCCCGGTGTGGTCACAACGACGATTTCCAGCGTTCCCGGGACCATGCCATCAACGCAAAGAAACGCGTCGTCAATCTGGGGTCACGTTGCGGCTATCCGGGCTGTTTTGGAGGGGCTTGTCGAAGTCCCCCG